AAAAATAAAGGTATACATGAATTAATTAAATAAACAAAAATAAAATTAAATTATTTTTTAAGCTATTTTTTATTAGTTAAATTATTTTTTCGATTAATGAAATAATTCGACATACAAATTTTGAATTTAAAAAAAAGAAGCTCACTTTAGTTGTGCTGAACCTCAGATTAGTTTAGGTTATAACGATGATCCTATGCATCCATATACATCTGTTGGCTCATTGTAAGCTATACATAGAGCTCAAAAGGTAAACGACAACAAACCCTTAATGAAACACGATATCACATTAAACCAAAATTTCCAAACCTCAAGTAGACATCATAGCGATTTATTGAGAATTATTTACTAGAACTTTATTTATATTTATATATATATATATATATACATATTTAGATTTATTTAAATTCCATATATTGCTTTTTTCTTGCGAAATATTAGCTTTGACATGTTAAACCAAAAGTCAGTTTTTTCAAGGCTTAACAGATAAAACCTTACTCTATGATAAAATTGAGAAGAGACAAATTGTTTTCTGTCATCATTAATCATTTTTATTGATGGCTTATATCAAATACTTTTATTGCAAAATGAAATTAAATTTAATTAAATTTAGTTATTAAAACAAATTATTGAGTAATACTTGATTTAAATTTCAATTAAGTATTTATTGCAAATAAAATCAATCCAATTACTTTTGCGCCACTAAATATTCAATACTTAAGTGTTTAGTATTGATTTCATGATTATTTCCTAATGATCATTATTAATGGTGTACCTATATATTATTTATTTAAATCATTTAGTTTAGAAAAATGTTTAAAATACAATTTTATTTTATAAACAACTTGTTTTCACTAAGTATATTTATGTATATTTAAATTATTATTATTTTTTCTATTTACTAGAAAAACGTTACACTGAGACAATTTTATGGCATCCCAGTAGAAAAAGTGGTCTTCGAAGACATTGTCTTCAAGACGGTCTTTGATACCGCGTCCGCATTTTCAAGCAAATTTGCAAAACAATTGCTCAAAACATGAATGTAAATACTCTTTCTTTGCTTTCTCTCTCATTTTTAGTGTTCATAGCAACGTATTTGAATTTTGCCTCAGATGACGCTATGTTTTATAAATGAAGTGACGCAATAATTTTGAAGTGTAGTGAATAAACATTTGTGAAATAAATATTAAAAAAATCAAAATAAATAAAGAAACAAAATCATTAAACTACGAAATATTAAAAAAAAAGAAATTAAATCAAAACAAATTAAATAGTGACTTAGTTCCTGGAAAATATATTGATATTAATATTGAAGACAATAATTCCAGTGAAAGTTGTTTTAGAAACGAAACAAAGGATGTTGAAAATAAAAAAACTGAAAACACTTGTGAAAAATTAGCTGTTATATTTAAAAAACACAGGATTAACAGGCGTTGTGGTAATGATATTTTAGAACTCTTAAGATCAGAAGGTTTAATTGTACCAAAATCCTCTTCAACGCTTTTGAAAACATATAAAACTTCAACAATAGATGATAGCGAAATGCTATAAATTATTTTATATTAGTGTTAGTTAATTTTAGATATGCTAAGTTATATTAAGTTAATTATTTAAATTAATTTTAATTATGTTTACTAGTTTTTACTAGTTTATTATTAATATCTTAATAAAATTTATAATAAAATTTATAATTTATTTTTAAAACTTTTAATTTTGAATGTAATTTAAGAAATTATTATATAAAATAAATAAAAGTACAAAATACAACAATTTCTTTCTACTTATTTAAAGAGAAAATTGAAATTCATTTAAAATTTAAAGAGCGCAATAAAAGAGTAGAAATAAAAAAAGGGTGAAAAAATTATATGAGTACTGCACTAAGAGCGCACAACTTTCTGTCGAATGCGTCCGTTATGCAAGACATGGTCTTCGAGACGGTCTTCGAGACATGTACGCAAAAATTCATTGAAGACATTTGGCTAATTTGTATGAAAGTGTCTTCGAAGACCGTCATACATTTGGATCGATCGGTCTTCATGTATGTATCCATGTCTTGAAGACGTCTTCGATGACGGATCGATCCGTTTTCTACTGGGATGTCAATGAATGCTAATTGGTATTAAATTAATAATACAAAAGCATATATATAATTAGAAATGTATGTAATATATAACTAAAACGTATTACTCAAAAATAATAAACTCAATATACTCAAGTATCCAATATCTATATTATTTGAAACACTCTAATCACATAGCACGAGAGGACTAATACGATTTCAAACAAGAAGGTATCAGCACTCAAGGTATTAGCACTCTAATCACATAGCACGAAAGACCTAATACGATTTTAAGCAAGAGGGTATCAGCACTCAAGGTATTAGCACTCTAATCACATAGCACGAGAGACCTAATACGATTTCAAGCAAGAAGGTATTAGCACTGATATAATATAACTCTTTTTTCCACAATGATGTTTTAGTTTTCGAAATCTTCGATATAAATTAATTCTTTACAAAATCAATTCTCTTACCTTAAATGTGCTGTATTAGACTATAAACAAAAACGTTTTATTAAGTTAAATGTAAATAGGCATTTTAAATAAAAACTGAATTTAATAAGCTATTAAGATAAGTTCAATAATATGTTTAGACTATTGTACTTAACAAATATGCAGTAATATGTGCCACTTTTCATACAAAATCCATAGAAAATCAATTTAAAAATATGCGAAAAAATTTCTATAAGTATGAAGATACTACGTCGATAAACGCCCCATTGGAATTCTAAGTCATTTTCACCGGTACCAGTTTAAGTTATGTACGAGTATCTGAACATAAATACCCCCTTGGTAAGAAGCGAAGCCACCTAACACCTCTGCTGATCTTTGAGTCACAGCACCCGTTGTGAAAATGCAACTTCGCTACAATCATTCTACTCGCGTAAGCTTGGGTTTTAGCTACAACCGCCACAACATTCCCTTGAAGGAGCCAACCTCAATTGGTCAGAACAGCCGAAACTGCGGGTACTAAGCACTATGGTACCAGATAAACACCTCCGGTCGGATGATAGAAATGAAAACTCACTCACTACCTGGACTGGATTTTACTGGATTTTCATCGCTTTTACCTCACTTCGAGAATATTCAAACCATTTTCCTTTCAAACCCCTCAGGGGGAGTGAGCTGAAGCTACAATTTAAACAAAGAACTATATGTTTACAAAAATTTTAATATTAGCAGAAACTTTAGGAGACCTGAAGGTAGCCGAAAGTAAGGACAAGGTAAACCCATCTTTTGTGTAGATTGAGAACATAAATAGAAAATCATACCTACCAAATTTTAATGCTATAACTTCAAAATAAAATATTTTTAATAAAGAAATGAAAAAACGATTGATACACAACCTGATATAAGTAACGAGATGTCTGTACATCAAATACGATGCACTTACCTTAGAAGTTGACGTTGTAATATTTTTTGCAAACAGATAGATGGCCCTGCGTAACTGGAACCATCTTATTTTAAAGTGTTAAATACTCTTAACCCTAACCGGACGGGATAGTTACGATTGTAAATTTTGCACTTTTCAATTGCCATAACTTGTTGTGCCTATACTGCAGTGGCCTTAAAATTCAGGAGATACCTAACGTTTTTTTAACTTCCAAGCAGGTGTATATACAAATTAGGATTAAAAAAACAAACCATTTTTATTTATTTATAATAAAAAAAGTTGGATAGGGGAAGATTTTTCATACTTTATCTTTGAAGTCAAAATTGTACCTCTGTCGCCTTTTAACGTTTTAAAGTTTCCCAGTCCGACAAGGGTTAATACCGTTCGAGTGTTGGCATGACTAAATAGCAAAGAAGAGTATATGCGATCAAAAGTTTTATCTAAAATATTTATATAAAATATTTTTCTAATTTCTCTGAAATATTTTAAAATTCAATGTATCTAGTTCATATTTCAAAAGTTAACCGTGTTATGGTATGGATATGACGCCAATTGGTATTCAAGAGCGATATTATTTTAAAGACCCCGTTGCAACCACGTAAGTAAAACTAAAACAATTTTAAATATTTTATGCATTTTTTGTAATTTTATAATTATTCATTGTCGATTGACTTTTTTGTTTATCCAACTCATGTGTCACCTACGAGCTCAAGAACTGGTTTCGGCATGACCAATCCAAAAAGATCGCGAATTCTAAATACAGCAGCTGAAGTAATTAACCACATTCTACAGAAAAGGCACGACATGTTTTTGAAAATATTGGCAATAATTTATAATTTATATACATTATTAAATAAATCAAAAAAAAAAAACGTAAAACAAATAATTATAACAAAAATTTGAGTTGAACTTACCTGCTTTTGACCAAAGATCATAATTTTGTTGTTGAAAAAGCGTTGCCCAATCGTAGGACAATTCATTGTGTGATGCCATTATAGATATCATCCCCCACAACAGCACAGAGAAGTGAATTGAGAAGATGCAGCCGAAAACTTGAAGCAGCACAATTTTGAAGCCGCACTTATTAATTTAGTCCTTTTTAATTATATTGAAAATTATTATATTATACAATGATTCGAAAAGAAAGATAAATACTTACAAAACTATTATATTTGATTTCAATTAAATGAAAAGTTTAAATATGGCATATTTATTTCATATTATTTCATAATCAGTGCTCACCACAATTTTATTTTTTTTATTGAGTTTTTTATATAAAATTCATAACAACTATAAAATTTACAATACGAATAACACAATCATAATTAAAACGTTCAATTTACATATTTAAAAAAAATGTATGCAAATTAAATTTAATTGCAACTTTTTGTTGTTGGAATTTGGAAATCTAACTGTTCATTTTCACCACACGTTGTTGGTATTTATTGCTTTATTACTGTTTTAAACTGCACAAAGTTCACATTGAATTATATTAATATTTTTTAAATAATTTTGACAGCAATTATAATATTTTCTATTTTTAGTTTAAAAAAAATTTTGGTCCTATAACTTATACTATATTTTAAAACACAAATTTCAATTTATCGCCGCTCAACGTACGAAACACACAACACCCGCAAGTCGCCAACGATTCCGCTCAACTGTCACTTGTTTGGCGCTCAAAATACACTGTTAAAAATTTTCCAAAAATTGAAGTATGCAAATTATTTTTGTAAGTAGCAAGACACAGCGCTAAAGGTAAATAAACCTACATGCAATTTAATAGTATTGAACATTAAATATTTGTGTTTATATTTATTTAACATAAAGTAAACGAATTTATTATTGAAAAATTGCTTGAATGTCAAATAGTTACTCGCGGCAATAATAAAAGTGACTAAGTAGGGATATAAATAATTAATAAACTAATTTGCACAACTATTAAATAAATATAACTTAATTAGAAGTTATTATAGTCAATAATATTATAAAGAGTATAATAAGTGTGTATTCGTTACCTGTAATTTCGTTACCAATAAGTTTGAATTATTTATTCACCAATTAAAATGATAGCAATCAGTATCGGTAGAATATATGAGGTCTGTTCCCCGTGCTACGCGTAGTAACTTTAAGTAACACTGTGTATTCACAAGTACGTTCCACCAGCAAATCTTCGAATATATGAGAATATCTGAGAAAGAATTTCGACACCCCTGTCGAAATTTGATAATGCTACACAGACTTTACTCCTACATATTAGGTCTGTTCCACGAGCTACACATAGTAACTTTGAGTAACACTGTGTATACACAAGTGCGTTCCACGAACAAATTTGTGAGTAAATGAGAGCATCTGAGAGAGCGTAACATCCCTGTCGAAATTTGAAAATGTTACACAGACTTTACTCATGCATTTTATATGAAGTAAAATTTGTGTTTATGTGTAAATCAGCTGTTATGGTTTGAATTCAAATTTTTGTATTGTTTGTTTGCGCGGCATTTGTGAATATAAAAAAATTCTGCATTTTTAATTGTAACAACTGTAATAAATAAATATTGAAATGGATAAAAACATAATAAATATTTTATTAAGTGATTTAAGTAACACAACACAACCAGAATAAAACGTAGTTAATACACTTTGAGATAGTGACTCTGACGATAATGTAGAATTGGTGTATTCGATATTACATAAAAAAAAAAGAAAACGTGTGTGTATAAAAAATTATATACAAGATGTTGTTTGCAAATATGACGACAAGGAATTCAAAACTCATTTCCGCATTTCGCTGAGCCTTTTTAATTCTTTGGCTATAAAATTTCAAAATAGTACCGACTTTATTGCACTGCGAGTAAGTGAGCTGAACATTTCTTCAGAAGCTCACGTTGCTGTTTTTTTATGGTTTGCTGGTCACGAAGCATGTTGTTTTAGAGATTTATCAGATCGCTTTAATCTCTCTTTATCGTCAGTAAACCGAGTTATAAGAAGGATGATAACTTTCTTTAGCAACATGTGTCCGGATATAATTGCATGGCCTAGCACATCAAAAAAGAAAGAAGCAAGTACATTTTTCCGAAGCTTATGCAATTTTCCATAAGTTATAGGTAAGGATTTATGTGCATATTAACGCTGCATATATATTAATACATGTTACTTTGCAGGTTGCCTAGATGGCACTCGTATAACTATTCTCCTGGAGATCGTAAGGACGACTACATTGGCAGAAAAGGAAATATTTCATTATGCTTGCAAGCCATGATGAAAACAGAAAATTTATTAGCATATTTGTCGGACATCCAGGCTCCTGTCATGACAGTTGGGTCTTACAAAACTCTCCTATATGCGACTACCATCGAAGTGTGGAGGTAAGTTCTTTGGAAAAAGAAATGAGATTTATTAAAACCTCTTACGTTTACAGAATACTATCTACTGGCTGATTCCGCATACTCCTGTACACAACACATCATTACGCCATATAAAGACAACGGGCGTCTTACTCGTGCACAAAAGAATTTCAATAGAAAATTGGGGTCAGGTCGAATACTAATAGAAAATGCATTTGGTATATTAAAACAACGTTTTAGACAGCTGTATAATTTTTTATAATAAATTTATATAACAGCACCCTAACTCACTTTATTAAAACAAAATTTAACTTTAAATAAATTAATTTTAAATAGTATTTAAAAATATTTCGCTTGTTGTTTTGTTTCTTTGGTTTTCAAAATGTGTTTGTCTGTTATTTTTCAATTTCTATTTCTACTGTTTTGTTTTTCAAAAAACAGCTGTTTTCACCAGACTTTACACAAAGCTGTTCCATGAAAATTTGTGTAAAGAGCATAATCTGGCACTTTATTTGTGTTACGCTCTGAGTTTATACTTTACTTCTGTTTTACTCATGGTTTACTATGTGTAGCTCGTGGAACAGACCTATTATTTTAAGTAAAATTTGTGTGATGTGTGAATCAGCTGTTTTGGTTTGAATTCAAATTTTTATATTTTTTATTTATGCGGTATTGGTGTTCTCATCAGATTTTTCACAAAGCTGTTAAAGAGCAAAATTTGGTACTTTATTTGTGTTACGCTCTCAGTTTGTACTATACTTGTGTTTTATTTGAGTTTTAATACGTGTTGCTCGTGGAACAGACCTATGATATTATTACTATTAATAATATAATATAGTATTATATTAAATTATATAATAAAAAAATAATATTAAGGTTATGACACTATACAATTTAATTCATTACAAGTTTACAATCAAAAATTTGTGTGCATACGTAATAGAAATTAGTCATTTAGACGATATCATATTCAGATTTCAGTTTATTTCAAATGAGTCTGCAATAATTTTTGTTTCTTTTTATCAAAACTTGCAACCAAAATTTGCACATTGAAATTTTTTGACCACAGAATTTACTAAGTTAATGTACTTAAAAACTAAATACGCGATTATTTCGGATCATATAAGGATGTTGTATGATAAAAGTGATAACCTAATGAGGCTTGTAAAGATATCCCCAAATTTGAGTTAGTTACGATAGTATAAACTAACTTTTGATAAAAAATTAAGAAATTAAAGGGATTTATTAAGCAAAATTAATATCTGCATTTTTGATTGCTTACATATAAATTATCTTTTACCGCAACTACTTACTAAGGGAGTTATCTCATAAAATCAGTAATGGACTCTTCGCTGGCTTATTAGAAACATACTATAGGAGACAGTATGCAACATCACTAAAAAAAATCTTACTTAGTTTTTTTGCTAATTTAAACTATATATTTTTTGAAAGAAACTTTGTATATAGCAGTTTTAAAGATAAATCATTGACTTAACTACATATTCAATATTAATTTTTTTTTGCCGATATTTAATATGTAAATAAATCATCCGACTTTTAATATCAACTGCATTTTGCATTGAGTCATGTTATCTGCTAGTTACACATCCATCTTCAACTTGAGAAGTAGAGTAACATGTGCGTACAAAATTTAATCATATACTATTATAAGAATGTATTCTATATTGATTTACCTACATTTAATTATACACACTATACTACACTATTTTTTGCATAAATTGAGATAATCATATAATTGTATTTTAATATACTTTATATAAGACATTTTTCTATGGGTTACTAAATTAAATACTTGCACTTATATTAAAATTATTCTTATCTATATTAATTAAAATTAACTTATATACATGTAATTACAAATTTAATTGTAGAGAATATAATTATTATAATAAAATGGAAACTGTTTACATTTACATAATATATTTATAATAAAACTGGAACCAACACAAATATTTATCATATTTAGTCATATATGTATATATAAATACTATCTTTGTTTGTATTCTTGTGATATATTCATTTGAGCTACATACAAAATAATAATGTCCAGTAATAAAATAAATTAGGTTAATAAGCAAAAGGGCCTTGCAATTGTTAAAATGTTTGTTGTTAAAGAACGTTAATTACAGATGTTTTAATTTTTTATAACATCAAAGTGTGTAAACCTTGGCCTCAGTTTTACTTGTTCTGTTTTCATGCGGTCTTTCGTTAGAAAAAACAATTTATGATCAATAAAGAAATGTCATTGTACAGAGTTGTATTGGAAAGTATGTGTTAACAAATATTTAAATGCACGTGTAATTTTAGCATCATGAATTTTGTTTCATAAATGTGAGTAATTTCAAAAAAAAAACAATTTCATATATCATTAATAATTGTTTTGCTTTAATTAAAGTGCAGGGTACATTAAATATCATTAATAGGATAAAATACATTTATTATAATAAACAACAATTTTCGCAATATATGCATTTATTGCAATATAACAAATTTATTAAAATGAAAACTTTATATAAAAGTTTAATTAGATGCGTGAAACTGATTTTGCTTAAAATGCGATATTTAAAAAGTGTTCCAATTTTATTTTTTTAAAGTGCTTTTTAAACGTTGCAGCGGTATTTAGTTTTATTTTGCTTTAATTTATGAAATTTATTTGTAATATTGCTACACAATTGTATATATGAGATTTTTTCAAACGAGATGTCTTCACACGAGCGTTATATTTGTAATTTTAGCTGTCAATTATTGTTGCTTTCAGTGCAAAATAAATATTTGTGACACCTAAAATTACAAACAAAACTCTAGTGTGGATCGTGTATAAACGCAGAATACGCTTACATATATGTCATCAAAGTCTGATAGTCACTAATTTCCGTATTTTAGATTTATTTATATTAATAATAATTCTGCATATTTGCATTTTGTAAGCAGTTTCAATAATTAAAATATATTGCTTTACATTTAACATTTTTTTAATATCCAAACAAGACGTCAAGAGTATACTTGAATAATACAATAATACTACCATTTCATATACTTCAATAATTAAATATTATTTTTTACATGGCAACCCAGTAAGCCATTATCGTCATAGATAATTTTCTCTCATGTCATATTTCTTCATTTTGCTTTTGGATTTAAATTCATAAAGTAGGCGACGCATTTCTAAAAAAACTGCTTAAGTATCGAAAGTTTTCATATCATTGCAAGTGTTTGTACCGGCAGGAAGAATAAATTTATATATCGGGAAAGATTTGTTCGAATAAATTTCATTTTAGTTTTTTTTTATATAAAATTTCTTGTCATAAATTAATACAGAAATTTTTTTTTTTTGAAATAAAACAGTGTTGAGTTCAAAGTACGAAATTTTCTATTGGCAATTGCATTATTTATTAGTGAAATATATTTTAAAACGAAATTCCTGTGCACGTTCGAATTCTATAAGATAAATAAGACAATATGGAAGATGCGAAACCAGAGGCGTCCGGCTTTATGTCAATCGTTAACGAAATTATCTACAGCCCCATGAACTTGGGTTTAGTTTTAATCATTGCATTCTTGATCTACAAAATCATCAAGGACCGCATCGAAGTTCCCAATGCTGTCGCGCAGAGACCAGCACAGGTTGAACTACCCAAGTTGCGGCGCGATTTTACTATACAAGAATTGCGACAGTTCGATGGCTCCCAACCAGATGGACGTGTGCTGCTTGCAGTCAATGGCAAAGTGTATGACGTCACGAAAGGAAAACAATTCTATGGGCCAGGTGAGTACACAAACAAAAACAGTCAATAAACGTGCGTAGGGATATGTGTGTGTGTGTGTCCATTGTATATTATATTTTTAAGATACATTTTCGAGTAGGTAGTGGATCTTTGGGTTTGGTTACAATAAACATATGGCAATTTATTTAAGGAATTTTCTTTTGTCTTTTGGCCTTGTAAATGAAAAGCAGAAAAATATTACAAACACTCAAGCCAGATTAAATGCATGTACTTTGCTTTCTTAATTACGTGAGTTTTTTCAAACTTACGTTTATTAATTTTTTTCGCTGCTCCATTAAGTTTTTATATCGTTCACATTTTGCCGACAAGCCTCCCCGCTCCGCTTGCCATTCAAACCAACCTCACATAAACACTTGCTGCTGTTTATATGCGGCAAATAATGTTATCATCAGGTGATAATTAAATGTTATTCTATTGCCCTGCTACCCGCGTTTGTCCACCCCACAACCTCACAACCTTAGCAAGTGAGCAGAGTTTTTCTAAAACATATCCACTTTTTCTGCTACTCACACGGCTCTGCTCGGCTGGTGAGTGTAGCGCTTTTGTCCATAGAGTACAGCGTAGAGTTTGCATATATTAATTTCATTTTTTGTTTTATGTATAAATTATTTTTAGCTTAATTGCAATAAAATTTATTGATTGTTCTGTTATAAAAAATTGTAGAAAATTTTCAAAAGAGAGCAACGAAAAAGATTTCAATGTACTGAAAACGCACTCAACGGTCTTGTCCGGAAGGCGTAAACAAACGCCGCCGCCGTTCCAAAAGTTTCACTTCGTCGTAGTTACTTTAATTTCAATTGAAAAGTAATTACTTTTCTTAAATGGAAATGTAATGAACGCAATAAAATCGCACAAATATTTATTAAATAATTTTTTATTAAATTGCTTTTTTAATTTAAAGCAAAAATTGAATATTTTGACTGCAGTCAAAAGGCTTGACGCCTTGAATTTTTAGTCACATGTTTTTGTTTGAAAACAAACTTCTAAACAATGCTTTTTATTTATATCAATATTAACTAATCAACAAATAAAAACAAAAACCAAAAAATAGCTTTCAAATACAGTTTCAAATATACAGTCCATAACTCAAAGTAACATTTTGCAAAGAAAAGGTTAGATTTATGGAGACTTCCAAGTTAAAGAATTTTTTTGGAATTATATGGGATTTGCCCTGTTGCACTCTATTTAGTTCGAGTTATAGAAAATTGCAGAACAACACGTTATAGACAATTCAAGAAGTTAGAGTTATGGAAATTTGACTGTATATTAAAAGAGATTTTCCATAATGCTTTTTACTAACTCTGTATAAGCACCTCTTTTTGTAACTTTGCCTAGTGTGTCTACAACTTGATTCCATGTTGCAAATTTGGAAGAATCAAAGTATAGCTGATATGCCTTGTTTTCACTATATCATTTTAAATGACAATTATAATTGCCTAGTGTGTCAAATGCGTTTTTATTAAATGACAAGAGTGCGAATATGACATCGTATGACTACCCGTATTCAATCTACTGACAATATTTGACATTCAAAATGATATAACGAAGTAATACAATCTAAAAGTTATAAAAGGACAAAGTTATTATTAAATATTCCCAAAGACCACAGATAGCAAATATTAGGCAATATCTGTAACAAGTATATTGTTCAACCCCAAAATCACTTGATTAGAAATTTATATTTTGGATTTATAATTTTCTCAGCATTATCTTCATTATTACTTAGAGATAGATTTGTTGTTATAGAAAGTAAAAACTTCCTGAAACTGACGTGCGAATATTCCTTACATTAGTAAATATTGCATTCGAATAACTATACGACACATTAAATACGTTTGTTCCACTCATAGCCGAGTCTTCGTCCCGGAGCCACTCTTCAATCTCGACAACCAATTAGTTTTACTAATCAATTATTTGACTTATCAGTTAAATTTAGTAATTTTCCTTTATGTTGTTATTGCTATTGCCTTGTGAACCACGCAGGATACCGATAAAAGTGGCACATAAATGAATTGCAAATAGTTCCTTAAATGTTATTGTACGAAGCTTCAAGCGTTTTTAATGTTTGAGTATGCGTTTGAGTATTTAATGTTGAGTTTAACTATCACATACTCCAAGAAGAAAAAAAAAAGCAACTGAACACTTTTTGTTAAAATACCCAGACTTGACAGGTCTTAGACTTTTCACTGTACAAGTTATGAACTTCTGAAGTTGACGAGCATCTCAGAAATAGATAATCAGAATGTAATCTCCTTTATAAACCGTTCAGGTTGATTTAAAACAGAGATTTTCATAACCTGGTTTGTGGTATCAAAGTGAGGTTATACGCTACGTAGACAGAGGAGGAAACTCTGCCGTCACTAAAACCAAACAATCAAGCGAAATACCTAATTTCTAATCTTAATATAGTCGAGCATTTTAAAATTTTAATGTTCTAATATTTTAAAGCCCTTAAATTGTCCAACAAATCTCTTTTTTAAGAAGTAAGCTCCTTATCAAAATGATACTGGTGGTATTTAACTACTTTGCACTCATACGAATTAAGTTCTAATACTTCTGCTAACCACTTGTTCCTATATATTTTATCACATAGTATGTTAGATGAGCCTTTTATTCATACAAATTAAGTATTAATACTTCTGAGGAGAGCTTGTTCTTACACATCCTATCCCATGGTAAGTTAGACGTGCCTTCCTGTCATAGAAGTTAAGTACTAATACTTCTGATAAGCACTTGTTCTCACACATCCTATCCCTTGGAAGATTAGACGTGCTTTCTAGAAATGAAGTACTACTAATTCTGTTAACCATTTGTTCCCCCTCATCCGCTTTTAAAGTACCTTACATGTGTCGTTCACTCACATAAACGAAGTACTAATACTTTTTCTACTACATCCTCTTACATGGTAGGTTAGAAGTGCTTTCTACCTATTTTGTCTCAATGACACTATAAACTCTGTTTGCTGTAAATTTCTGATGGACGAAATTTCTATGATTTTGTGTCTTATAAAATATTCTATTTATTCTATTCTATTCTATTCGTTTCATATATTTGTTTTGCATTTCAAAATGCCAAACATAAATTATGGATTAGTTGTCAATGTAAGTTCAATGTTAAACCAAATTTAATCAAAAATTTTCATATGCGATCAATTGAAGATTCAAGAACGGTTCGCGTACTTCCTCCATTTCCTTTCACTTACATATTTGCATTTGATATCGTCAGTCATCATTGTATTTCATAAATATTTGAGTTTCTTTCGAATTCCATATTAGAAAAGTGTGTTTACACTTTCGTTGATACGCACAGTGAATGAGTCTCTGAAAATTTCACATGTCATTCCTTGACTTTATCAGTAACATTAAATATCGAGTGTCTTTACCTACAGAATGTTTGGAAGCGCATTTCTGTTTATACATGAAATTAAATGTCAACTCATGCAAAACTGACGAAGTGGAACTCTTATCAATTTATTTATTTGTTTTTTTTTCTTCTTTTGCCTCTGTATATATTTACTTAACAACAGAAACCAACTAACAGATTTCAGATTTCAACATATATCACAAAATGTGGCTACAGAAACTGATATGCCTCTCTATCTCTCTCCCTGTCTCTACTGTAGTTTATATGTGCATATTTGTTTTGTTTATATTTTATTTATTTAAATAAATAAAATAAATATATTTTATCAGGTGGACCTTATGCACCATTTGCTGGACGCGATGCTTCGCGCAACTTGGCTACATTTAGTGTCACTCCCAATGATAAGGATGAGTACGATGATCTTAGCGATTTGAGTGCTATGGAAATGGAATCCGTGAAGGAGTGGGAATTACAATTCGATGGTAAATAAAATAATATATGATTTTTAATTGATTTTCTAAATAATTTATTTACCTCTTCAATTATAGAAAAGTACATCTATGTTGGTAAGCTATTGCGTAAAGGTGAGCAACCTACCAACTACGATGATGAAGAAGAGGAGCCAGCTAGTGATGCTAAACCAAATGATGATGCTGCCGCCGCCGCCGCTAATGCGTCTGATGAGGGTCTTCGAAAACGTGCAGTCGATCCCGCTAATGAATAGATGCAATATAGCAAACGTTCAATTAAAGGAACCCCAACTTATTTTTATTATAGAATTTAGTTTTGTCTAGGTTTTTCTACACTTTACACAATATAAAAAAGTTATAATTGCAGAAATAAAATTTAAATTTAAACAACAGTGTAGGTTAAGTTTATTGGCTTATATATAAACCAATAAAAAATTTATGGTCCTTGCAATAAATTTAATTGTTAATAGCATTAATTTCTTTTCTGTTGTTGAAGAATGAAAGATGTAAGCCAAAATTTTCATTTATCATACAGAATTTTGTATCTATAAAAAACTAAACTACATATTGAATATTGTACTGATTGTAAACTGTTATATAACTACTATACACGAGACTAAAATTTTAAAATATCGAAAAAAAAAATTGTTAAATTTGTTTAAGGATTTTGAGTCAGGAGAGAGATGGAGGTATAGCGATTGCTTGGCAGCGTATTGTTAAGTCCTTGGATTAGTTTAATTTAAATACATACCAATATTTAGTTTCTGTTTTCTAATTTTGATTATCGTAAGAGATAACAAAAAAGTAATTGTTATATAAATTAGTTCACAACTTTCAAGACTTAACTAGCAATATGGCTATATCCTTACTAATATATTGAAACGTTGCTTGTAACACTCAGTTTAGTTAAATTTATTTCGATATAGTTTATATAGTTTCTAAATTTAAATGTACCTTTGTTTTTATTCGGATTTTGGTTATAGTATTGTAATAAATAAAAAATATAACTAAAAGAAATACATTTTTATATAAACAATGTTATTGTAAATATCAACAATTTAAGGTATATGATAATGGTATCTCAAAACATATATGTTATGAGTCTTAGGAAGATTTTAAGCACTTTTCTTCGATTTAAAATTATGTTGCTTTACTTTACACTCGAAAATTGAAGGTTAAAAACGAAATTCGAACTTCAAATAATTTAATCTATTCTATGTAAACTACATGGTACACCGATGGTTCAAAAATCAAAGAAGGCGTTGATACAGGGATATTTGGTCCTAACATTAGAATCCCGCACGCGCTGGGTATATGGTTTACTGCCTTCCAAGCGGAGGTTCACACCATTAACAATAGATTGAAAGGCGCCCGTATCTGTATTTACTCAGATAGTCAAACAGCAATCAAAGCATTATCTTCCTGGAAGTTTTCCTCAAAGCTTCTGTTATACTGCTATGACACGCTGAAGCAGCTGGCAAGCAAAAACAAAGTGATGCTTTGCCCGGTGCCTAGTCACACAGGAAACAATGGTAATGAGTCTGCGAGATTAGGATCTGCGATTCAATTTTGTGGATTAGAGTCATATTGTGAATTAAGTTGGTCAACAACTACGTCTCTGTTTTATAAATGGTTTTCAGCCAAAAGAAGTCGCTACTGGCGTAACGTTCCAGGTAACCGTTAGGCTAAAAAGCTGGTTCATACCTACAGTTATAGTAAGATATAGTTGAGATTGTTGGTGGAATATTTAACGGGTCACCATGAACTGTGCTATCACCTTAACAAAATGAGTATGTCCGAAGAAATAGATTGCCGACTCTGCTTGAAAACAGACAAGACTTCAGTCACATTCTCTGTGACTGCCCAGCCTTGACCTGGGCCAGAAGTAGGTCACTGTTTCGAGAACTACTCTCCCCTTCTGACATAAGGAGGTTCTCAACGACCGACATTCTGGCTTTCATTCGGAAGGCGGAATGTGTTATATTCGGTTAGGGTCTGCTGCAGCACAAAAGATCAACCATGGTCGCAGTCTTCCTCTCCGTTGGGAGCTGATATCCCGTTTATTAATCTAATGAATAGATTAATCTAATGAACAGAAGCAAATTTCTCATTTTATATCGCTACAGTATCGGCTAAGTATATATATCCAGAAATTGTCTTTGGTCAATGATAAAATGTGGCTCAAAGTAACACTAATCGCAACGAAGGTGAAACAAACTGCATATCCAGTGAACAGTAGATCCCTGAAAGTTATATATTCCCAAAGAAATCGAACCGTACAGGCCGTCCAATGTTCTCATTATTCCGTTGACTACCTTGTCCATATATACGGTACATTCTTGGTTTCCGCTTAATAGGTGTTCTTGCGCTACAACAACACCAAATAAACTTCCACATCATCCACTTCAGTTTATTAACATTCAATTTATACAAGTATAGACAATTTATTTACCCATTCAATCCCACGTTCGGCACTCATATATATGTAATACAAAATATCATATCTTTATGCTTACGGACAACTTTAATACAGTAATGGAAGTTTATAACCTGTTCTGAACTATAATTGAGAATTGCAGCGCTGCAAATCTCTTGATTACTAGCTTACTTTTTCTTATAAGTATAGCTTAAATCCAGCTGGGTTTTACTGAACTTCATAAATGGAAATCACATATGACATTTCTGGTTAGAAGTTCTCAAAACACTGAGATGGTTTAAGCGAATTCTACGTAAATTCAATTAGAATCAAGTTGCCATAATTTTAATTCATCTATTGTGGAAACCAATGAGATGGTACTTGGATACATGCTAAAAAAGGCATTAGAGGTTTTCCGAGATAATAACATATAAGATTTGCAAGGTTCATAAAGACGTAAGGTCAATATGGAATCAAGAATGAATGAATTTTATCTGTCCCCATTGGCAAATACTTTGTCAAAATTTATACTTAGTATACTTCTTTCAATGGCATTGCTTAACTTTTATTTAGCACATTACTTTAATATTGTGGGCGCTGGTTGTTTCTTCACTTTCCCACCTTTTAGGTCATCCTGACCACGTTTTGAAACTGACTGGCTATTGTTTACTTAATTATATCAGCAAGAACAGATAACTAATGTTAACTATAAGTGATAACACATTTATGTGTAGAATCCGTATTCTTTATTCAAAATCCCACAATAGTCTCTTTATATTAACTCCCCGAGGAGCCTGTAACCATTCTGAGTTTCGATAACGCCCTCTCTACCCCTTGATTGGAGTATTGTTTACCACTTCGTCATAAGCCATAACTGACCTCAGATCTGCATATCTCCCCGAGGAGCCTGTAACCATTCTGAGATTCGATAACGCGGCTTTGGTAAGTCCCTCAGTTTTCGTAAATAATTTCAGGGCTCTATCCTTTATGTATTTTTTGATCAAATCAATCTTGAGGTCCCCGAGTAAATTAAGCATTAAGCTTTTATGAAATTAGAAAAACGTAGGAATCATAATCCAAATAAAAATCAAAATTCTTAAAAAATTAAAAATAAATTTCTTGACAAAACTGCAGTTATATTAAAAAAGTCAAAACAAAATTTTTAGTTTTGGAAGTTCATATAGAATCTTTAAGTTAATTACTTACAATGGTTAATAACGCGCAATGTGAGTTGATCCTCACAGAATGGGCCCGAATCTTCAAAAATGCAAATGATGAACTGGGAAAAGGATTAAGTGATGTAGAAATAAAGTTAATGGTTATGCAGTACACGGATCTATTAGTAAAAATTTCAAGTATTTTACTCAATATAGTAACTTGTTTAGATTTTGCCGACCGTTTGATTTGGACAAGAAAAAATTTAATCACAGAATTTATTAAAGCATCATTGCCCGAGGATGAGTTCAAGACTATGCTGCCCGTAATAAAAATCATAAATGATTTTATAATGCCAACACAAATGATACGTTATTGCCGCTTTGAGGGCAAAAGACGTCGTTAAACTGAAGTGATAATTAATTTAACCAAAAAGAAAAGCAACACAATTTATTTTTATTGTTTTTGTTATTATTTTTATGTAAACAGTTTTGTCTTAAATAATTTAAAAAAACATTCAACACTAATCAACTGTATTCAACTACTTCACCACACCTGATAAGTGATACCAACTTACAGATATTTACAAAAGAAACGTCAAAACAACTCTGACACTTCGTGGGTATTTTCTATTAGGCAAATTATATAAAAGGTTTGTAGAGATTTTTATTAAAAAAATAGTGATTTAATTGTTTTATTTAATAATAGTAAATAATTTCCCGTTTCAGTGCTTGCAATAAATATAAAAAATATTTGTTTAAAAATACTCTTTTTCTTTACAGCAAAATGCTGCGTTCAGCTACCGCACTGGTAAGCAAAGCGCCTAAGCTTATGGCCACTGGCACATACGGAAACCTTGCTGGGTCAGGTGCTTTCGGTCCGGCTCTTAACACAATCTTAAAAAGAGAACAGCAGACAATGCCTGTCGTAGAACCCGGAACTACATTGCCGAAAAAAGGCTATTCACCATTCGGCACTAAACAGCCAAACTTAATGGAATGGTCAGTTGCACGTTTGGATGATTTGCTTAATTGGGGTCGTAAAAGTTCTATTTGGCCTATGACTTTCGGTCTAGCATGTTGTGCTGTAGAGATGATGCATATAGCTGCACCGCGGTATGATATGGACAGATATGGCGTTGTTTTCCGCGCATCTCCACGTCAGGCTGATGTTATTATTGTAGCTGGAACCCTCACCAATAAAATGGCACCTGCCTTGCGCAAAGTCTACGATCAAATGCCCGAACCACGTTGGGTAATTTCAATGGGCAGTTGTGCCAATGGTGGTGGTTACTATCATTATTCTTATTCGGTCGTACGAGGCTGTGATCGTATAATACCCGTTGATATCTATGTGCCAGGTTGCCCACCAACTGCAGAGGCGCTTATGTACGGTGTACTACAATTACAGAAGAAAGTTAAGCGTACGAGGACATTGCAGATGTGGTACAGGAAGTAAAATATATTTAATTAAAGTGAATAGTTTGTGAATAGACTAGAAGAAATTAGAAGAAAATGTGGTAGAAGATTTATAACTAATAGGTATAAAGCCTAACTCAACCAATTTGTGACGTTGAATGTTTATTTTTTTTTTTTTTTGCGATAACTTAATAAAAGAAAATATTGTGCAAATTCATGTTTTTAAATTGAAGATTTATTTAAATTTCAAATCGGCTACTAAAGCAATGTGATCGGATGGGAAAACTACAGACGGGATGGCAATATGTGCTTTCAGTTCCTCCTCCGTTGGCAGCATTACAACCTACGAATAAACAAATAAACAGAATATTGATTTATAAAATGTTCTGAAAGAAATGAAAGGAATTTATGACGTACTTGCTGCACTTCCAAGCGATCACATTGATAGAATATATAATCCAAGCAGGCAGC